CAGGGAGCCCGATGCGGGACTCGATCCCGGGACTCCAGGATCATGACCTGAGCCGAAGGCAGTCGCTTAACCAACTGAGCCACCCAGGCGCCCTACCGCACAGTCTTATAGGCAGGGCCAAGTCAGATGCTACCCCGCATCCCCCTAAACCCTGAGAACCAGGACCGAGGTTAAAGCTGCCTGCCTTGCCTGGCACATTTCTCTGCAGGGTAATTATGATCAGTATGTGAAGACACGGCTGGAGTTGGAGGAGAACCAGATGAAGAGGTTTCACTGGGAGCAAGATCAGATTGCACACATGAAGGTAGGAGCTGAGCTCACATTCTCCAGGAGAGTTGGATGAGGGTATTTGGGGAATTTAGGGGTGCTGGAAATCAGGAGGACATCCTCAGTATTTACCCCATGTTTATTTTTATTTATTTATTTTTTTTAAAGATTTTATTTATTTGACAGAGAGAGAGAGAGAGCGAGAGAGGGAACACAAGCGGGGGAGCGGGAGAGGGAGAAGCAGGCTTCCTGCCGAGCAGGGAGCCCGATGTGGGGCTCGATCCCAGGACCCCGGGACCATGACCTGAGCCGAAGGCAGACGCTTAACGACTGAGCCACCCAGGCACCCCAGTATTTACCCCACATTTAAAATGAGTTGTTTGGCACCTGCCCATACTCCAAGCCCCATTTCTGGTCTCTTTCAGAACTACATTGCTAGGTTTGGTCATGGCAGTGCCAAGCTGGCCCGGCAGGCCCAGAGCAAGGAGAAAACACTACAGAAAATGATGGCATCGGGACTGACGGAGAGGGTCGTGAGCGACAAGGTGGGGTCTGCTTCGGTAAAGTTAGTGGCCTACGGTGAGGTGGATAAGATACAACCTAACTTGATAAACGCCCTCTCCTCTTCCTAGACACTGTCATTTTATTTCCCACCATGTGGCAAGATTCCTCCACCTGTCATTATGGTGCAAAATGTGAGCTTCAAGTATACAAAAGATGGGGTGAGTACTCCTGTGTGGTTGGGAGGCTGGGGTGCATTTTACAAGGTGAGCATCAACTGGCTGAGAGAGTCTGCTATTCTCTGCTGAAGCCATCTGCTAACCCACGTGGTCACGGGATATTTCAGACATGGTAGCTTAGGTGCCTCATCCAGGGTCTCATGGTGACCCCTCTTCACGTGCTTGGGAGGATAACTGCTCAGCTGAGTGGGTGGGTGGAAGCAGTGGGTTGGGGTCTGCTAGGAGAGCTGCCTCCCTCCTCCACACCCCCACCACCGGTGGTGACTGGGGAAATGGCGGGGTTATCAACCAGCCAAATTGATTGATGGGTAACCTAGCCTCGTATTGATCTCTCTCTCACACCCACCCCAGCCTTGCATCTACAACAATCTAGAATTTGGTATTGATCTCGATACGCGAGTGGCTCTGGTGGGGCCCAATGGAGCAGGGAAGTCAACTCTTCTGAAGCTGCTAACTGGAGAGGTATGGTGCCAAGTTGGCGTGTGGGATTTCTAAGAGTAGGTACTTACTGTGTCTGAGGAAGAGGGAAGGTGTGCAGGGGCCACTGTGCTTGGAGGGGCTGAGCACACCAGTGGGGAGTGAGCCGGCTTCTGGGGTGGGGGATGTCACTGGCAGTGCTGACGTTTGGAGCTGTTTTCTCAGAGGGAGGGAGGGAAGGAGGATCTGTGTGTGTGTGTGTGTGTGTGTGTGAGAGTGTGAGAGAGAGAAAACATGCATGTGTCTCAACATTTTTCCTTGTTTTCAGTTAGAGCCTTTAGAGGAACATGTGCATTTAGAGACAATGTTTTTGTTTGAGAAAACCTATGTTGTAGGTATGTCCAAGTCCTTTGTTTTACAGGTCGTGCATTCTATAGTAGACATTTAATTACTAAGTATCTTTGCTCCCCTTGAGAACATCTGTTTCAGTGTAGCTTCCCAAATGTTTTTAGAGTGTCCAGATTAGCAGTCTGTGAGGTGGTGTAGATTCTGTTTAGGAAATTCTGCATCTTGTTCAGTGAACATATGCTTATTTTCCTACTCTGCTCATGTCTGCTTCTGACCGAGTTTCCTATTCTATGTGCTTATCTTTCCACCTAATACTCTTTTCTTTTTAGCTACTACCCACAGACGGGATGATCCGAAAACACTCTCATGTGAAGATAGGGCGTTACCATCAGGTAAAGGCCTTGGGGTATGGAATGGTGTCCAGGGTGTGGGAAGGGGGCTGCGTGTGACCAAGTCAGCTTTTGCCTGCTTCTCCTGGAATCTTGAACAGGTGCCTGGGTAGAGGTAGAGTTACTCAGCAGTTAACCCAGCAGGGTTCCTTTTGAAGTGGGACACCAGTCACATCTGAGTGAATTCTCTTTTTCCTGTAGCATTTACAAGAGCAGCTGGACTTAGACCTCTCACCTTTGGAGTACATGATGAAGTGCTACCCAGAGATCAAGGAGAAGGAAGAAATGAGGAAGATCATTGGTCGATATGGTCTCACTGGGAAACAGCAGGTCAGCGAAGGGGATGTGGGGAACAACCCCAGATAACTGGGAGATTGTGCCTGTGTGGTTAGGAAACACTGTTCTGGCCACCTGGGGTCTCTTTTTTTTTTCCCTCAAAGTAGGTGCCACACCCAACGTGGGGCTTGAACTCACAACCCTGAGATCAAGAGTTGTCTGCTCTACTGAAAAGTGTCTTCCTTTGATTCTAGCATCCAAGAGAACCCACTAGGTTTCCTTTGCCCTAGGTTGTATGCAGTTTAGTATTCAGGTCTCCTTACGAGGGAGCGGCAGGGATAGCATGCCAGTCTCTGACATGCCCTGGTCCCAGACTAGCAAGATAAACTGTAGTGCTTGAGGGCAAAGGAAATTGGAACCTAGAAAACAAGTTCCTGGATTCAGATCTGGATTGAGGAGCCACCAGATTGTTCCAATTAGTTACGATGTAAGTGCCGAGAGAGAGCAAGAGGTATGGCCTTAGTGATGGTAGGCGCTTCCGGCTTCCACATCTCCCCCTACAGGCCTGGAGAGACTGCCAGCTGTGTCACTGTCTCCCTCTGTGATCTTGGGCCTTCCTTTTTGTAGAATGGTGATAACATTAATGGAGGAGCAGTGGGGAGGGGTGAGTCATGCTGTGTGGTCGGAGTAACACCAAGTTCTATAAATGTCACGGTTCCACTCAGGTGAGCCCAATTCGGAACCTGTCTGATGGGCAGAAGTGCCGAGTGTGTCTGGCCTGGCTGGCCTGGCAGAACCCCCACATGCTCTTCCTGGATGAGCCCACTAATCACCTGGATATTGAGACCATCGACGCCTTGGCCGATGCCATCAATGAGTTTGAGGGTGGTATGATGCTGGTCAGCCATGATTTCAGACTCATTCAGCAGGTGAGGCCCCTGGCTGGAGTGGGAGTCAGGGCAGAGGGCATCAGGAGGTTGGGTAGAACACAGTCATGGCGTGTGTGTGTGGGGGGGGCACTTAATACATGTTTATTGGATGTGGGAAAAGGTCTCAGGGCGTAAACAGGGTGATGAGGACCAGATTTTATGGCTCTCTGAGAAACTTAGAAATTCTTAATAGAAATACTTCATTTTTTTCAGTGGTTATTTGGGGATGTTAGCCTATTTGACATTTGGCATTTTTTTAGCCAGAATTGGTGAGGGAGTCGGGTAGAGAACAGGGTGCTTTTACTATTGCCCCAAGATTCTTTAGCATAGAAATAGTATTATACTAAGGAGGATTTGGATTAGACAAAGGGTTATCACCAGTCATTGCTGGAAAAGCTGCTGGTCATTTCTCTGAAGCTTTGGGGAAAGATGGGGTGGAGAAAAGGAAGCTGAGAGCGAAGCCTCTAAACAGATCTAGGCCCTGTTGGGGAAGTGGAGATGAGGAGACACAGCAGATCTTGGCTTGAAGGGCTCCAGACCTGCTGGCTACAGTACCCTTGGGTTAGGCATCCCAAAGAACCTAGAGATGGTGAAACTGTGAGCTGGATATGGGGCTGGGCGCTGGGGGTTTCTTCCTGGATTCGCCTGACAGTGGTCTTCTGGGCAGGGACGGGGAGAGTGCTGGCCAGGATTATTAAGCCTGAGATTTGCTTTCTAGGTTGCACAGGAAATCTGGGTCTGTGAGAAGCAGACAATCACCAAGTGGCCAGGAGACATCCTGGCCTACAAGGAGCACCTCAAGTCCAAGCTGGTGGGCGAAGAGCCCCAGCTCACCAGGAGGACCCACAATGTGTGAGCCCCTGCCCGGACGGGGCCGGGACTCTGGGGCCACACTCCTGCATTGCTGCAATACCGCTCCCCAGCCCCTCCCCTGCCCCCACCTGCCTTAGCTGCACTCTGTGATCTTATCTACAGCTGGACAGTACCTGTCCGTTTCCTGTCCTTCCAGTTACTTTTGTCCATGTCTGGACGCGGCTGGCTCTCCTGCCAGCTCCTTGCTGGTTACTGACCTGATAGTGATGCAGCCAGAGGCACCTGAGGGTTAGCCCAAGGGCCCACATCCTGGGTTGGCCTGTGAAAGAGCTTAGGGTCCTCGTTTTCTGGGTTTTGGTGATGTTGGAGGAATACCCCCCAGCCCACCGCCCCCATTCCTTTCTGCTTCTGGTTTGGAGCTCTGGGCCAGGGCTTTAGTCCTGGTCGGTTTTTAAATAATTATTTAACAGTGTAACTTTTAGACCTGCGTGACATCTGCAAAGTGTCCAATAAAGAAAGAAGCAGCCATGGTCCCTACCTTCCTTTTCTGGTCTCTGGGCCCTTCACTTCCCTCCTCCCTGCAGGGCCAACACACTTAAGAGCTTGGGTGGGAATTGGTGGGATGGATGCAGACTAAAGACTAGTCTTTAGGAGCTGGAATAACTCTCCTTCCTTTGATTTGAAATTGTGCCTTGTGTTAGGCTGTTGTCTCACAACACACATCAGAATCACCTGGAAGACTCATTAGATCACCAGTCACTGGGTCTTGCCTCAGGGTTTCTGGTTCAATAGGTCGGGGGTGAGACCAGGAATTAAAGCATTTCTTACAAGTTTCCAGGTGCTGCTGATGCTGCTCGTCTGGGGCTCGAACTTTGAGAACCACTCTCCTGAGACATGTTTTTCAGAGTGGTCTGAGGCTCCCTTGCTGCGACCTGCACCACAACACTTGGAGCAGGTGGTGCTTGTTAAAATGCAGATCCCCAGGCCCCAACCTATTGATTCCATTTGGTGGGATGGGAGAGATGCAGAAATGGTCTGGAGTCTGCATTTTTCACACTGAAGTTTGTGAACCACCACTCCTGGGTGGGATACAGGAATTCTTGGTATTTTATCTGTCCATGGCCTTAATTTTTGTTAGCGTGGTCTCATTTACTTCCCGGCCAGGGCCCTGCATGACCTATCTGAACTTGAATAGCACTTGCAACCTTTGTCCATCAGGCACACCGGTGGCCATCTGTACTGATGCGGATTCATCATACCACCTCAGCAGCCGTCCCTGTGGGGAAACCTACACAGCCATGAGTTTTCAGTGCTGATTACAGTCCATCTAATCGGTCCCAGATGGTGTCTCAACCCCTAAGGAGCTCACGATCTAATGGGGAAACCAACACTGACTAGAGAACACGATGGCATAAATCAGATGCTCAGTTGTGACTTGTTAGGAGACACAGAAGGATTCGAAAGGGGGGAAGGTTTCTTGTGAGTAGCTATCTAGAAAGACAGGATTGGTGCTCTAACTTGAAAGATGAATAGGACCTCAGATGGCCCTGAAGTCCGAGAGCGGCCCTGGGCAGGCGGAATGATGAGAGTGAACGTGAGGTGAGAAGCTGCAGCCGAGCCCTCGGCGGCGAGGCTGGAGTGAGGCTCACACTCCAACCCTGAGGGGCCTGGCTTCGTTGCTTTGTGCCTTTGTGCCTAAGTCAGTCTGCTCTGAGTATCCAGAAACAGGTAGGGGGGAGAATGGCCTCAAGAATGAGCTGCTGGGATGATGGGAACAGAGAGGAGAACTTCTGCTACTTCAGCCAAGGGAGATCCTGGGTATGTTCGTACCAATTCCCTTTGAAGTCCCTCAGGGTCTTCAGTGTAGAATACTTGAGGTGCTAAGTAAGGTTTCAGAACTGGAAGAATCGAAGCAGGCTATTCAGCTTGCCTGTCCCCCCACCCCTCAAAAAGCCAATTTCAAAAACTTCAAGAATGCTTAAAAAGCCCACTATATATATATATATATATATATTTCTACAAAAGCCTAAAATTAGCAGTGCTTTATTTTGCATTAAGAATTCCCTCCCGGTCCTCTTAAACCTTAGCACGGAAGATGTAGCCGGATGTTGGGAAGCGGGTGAGGAGGTGAGATTAGTGAGGTGTTGGCTGCTCAGGCTTGCTTTCACCCACCCACAGGTGATGCTTGTCTTCACAACTCTCCCCCACCTCCTCCTGATTGGGAAAACCCTCTTTCCCCCAGCCCGTAGCTCTCCTGTTGCTCCAGGTTTCTTTAATCACAGCACTTAAGAACCTGAAATATCATTCACACATAGGTGCAAAGTGAGAACTACTCCGTTGAACAGCTGTCTCTTCCCTTTGCAGCTTCCACGGGGAGCCCACATCACCCGCTTTTATGGAGAGCATCCAGTGTTTCTCTGCTCTGGCTCCTCCAGTCCGCCCAAATGCCCTCCCTGGCAGGCCCTCCCAGCCTGTGGTTTCCTGCTGCCTGCATCTGGTCTAGGCTCAGGTTCTGCTCCACTTCTGCTTTCCGTCCAAGCCTCGCTGTACTCGGCATGCATCGATTCCACTCTGCTTTCTCCACGGATTGTCCTTCTGTCATTCTCCCCAATTAAACTACCCCCTCAACAAGACCAGCGTCAAATTCCCATTCCTTCCATGAAGCTATCTCTGGCTACTGTAGCCCTCACTAGTTTTTCTTTTTTTTAAGATTTTATTTTACTTATTTGAGTGAGAGAACAAACGATGGGGAGGGGCAGAGGGAGAGAGAGAGAGAGAGAGAGAGAGAGAAACAGACTCCCTGCTGAGCAGGGAACCCAACGCGGAGCTCGATCCCAGGACCCTGAGATCATGACCTGAGCTGAAGGCCGACGCTTAACTGATTGAGCCACCCAGGCGTCCCAGCCCTCACTAGTTTTTCTTTTCTGAACTCTCTGTCCCTATACCCCCTCTTCAGTCCTTCTACTCTTTGCTGTGAGCCAGTCTGGCTTCTTCCACTGTATTGTAGGGCGCTGTCGGTGGGGGGGTGGGGTGCCTTGTGTTCCTCCCGATACTCCCCTGCATTTCAAGTGATGCTGAGCACAATGGGTGTAGAGTGATCTCATGGCCTGGTTTGGTGGTGTGTGAACTCTCACAAGTGTGTAGTACGCTGGGAGATGGTGGGGGAGGGCTTCTCATTCAGAGACAGGAAATCACTTGGGGGAGAGGTGGGAGCCATTTGCCTCTTTCAAGATTAACGGAGAGCATGTTCTGGATAGGGATGGGCCAAGCTCCTCCCCCCTCCCACCCTCTCCATCCCAGGTGCTGGCCCCCAGGCCCACCTGGTGGGCAGCTGACTCCATAAAATACCCCAAGGAGCAGGAGGTGGCCGTCAGGAGGAGCAGGAGAATGAGCGCTGAGCATGGACAACAGCAGCAGTCTGGGGGCCGAAGGGGCCGTAGTTCTGGTGAAAAGAAGTCCAGAAGGCGTAGCCGGCGCAAGGAAACCTACTCGATGTATATCTACAAGGTGCTAAAGCAGGTGAGAGTGGGGAGCTAACGTGTGTGCACGCGCGCGTGTGTGGGTGTGTGTGGAGTGTACTGGCCAAAGAGCCTTGAGAGAGCACTGGACAGAGAGTTCCGCTCTGTTTACTCCCGGCACTGCGGTGAGTGGCCTCAGGCACGCCGTGCCCCTCTCCACTCGAGCTCAGAGGCCCCTACAACCTCTCGGTATCTGTTGTGCACCTATGATGGGCAGGAGACCTTTAAAGCACACCACCACCGTCCAGAAGCTTCCAGGGCTTTGGACAGACAAGATGATTATGTGGAACATTAGGTGGGACATAATTAAAAGACAGGGAAGACTATAAGAAAGTGTGGGGCTGAAGGGTGATCGAATGCCAAACACGTTACGGTATAAGCAAGAGCTCCTGTTAGTGCTGGCCGGAGCACGGAGTGATGTGTGTGAGCTTAAGTCTTGGGGAAGGCCTTCCAGCCACACAGCACCCAGTCCCTGTCTACTGCACAGAGGAGGAACCTAAGGTCCATAAAGGCTCAGTGCATTGACTGAGTCACAGGACCTGACAGCCGCAGAGGTACCCCCCCCCCGCCCCGGCTCTGAGCAGGCCCCTCACCTACTTCCTGATTGTCCCACCTCTTAACCCACAGGGGCTGTGCATGCTCTCTGTGCATGCCGCCTAGCAGAGCACCTACGAGAAGCACCTACTCCTGGCACTTGCACACTGACAAATATTTGGGGGCATCAGTGGGCACCTGACAACAGTGTGTCAAGGATACAAGGCACCCTGGCCTCCAAGCCTCTGCCCCCTCAGCAGAACCAGGGCCAGGAGCCAGCAGAACAGCTATCTTTGCCTTCCCTGAGTCTCTACAACCTGCCTGGGTCTTACCCCTTTGTGAGAGTAGATGTAGACATGAAGCCTCTCTCCAGTCTGAGTCCCATTAGCAGTTTCAGGGACCTGACAAGCTGGCTCTCTGGGAATGCTTTTGTGGGGTCAGGTTGGGGGCGGAACCAGCACTGTCGTAGACAGGCCGAAGGGCGCAGCAGAGGGCTGACTCCAGTGGCCTGAAGAGCATGGGGGTGGGAGGGAACACTGCTGAGCCCTGCAGCTCCGCCTAACCTTGGACTCAAAACCCGTGAGGCAAGGGTTGGCCCCGGGTTGGACTGGCGAAGGAGAGCTGCTTGCGGGGGAGGGGTCACCCACAGACGGTGAAGCTCACTGTGACCCCCTCAACCCCAAAGAGAAAAAGATGTGATGACAGCATGAGGGGTTCAGGCTCGGATCCCCTGCTGCCGGTGATATCCAGAGGCTGTGGGGAGAGCCCGAGTTCCATTTCTGTCTCCACCACTGGCCTGATGTGTGTCATTGGCAGTTGCCCCTCCCACTTCACGGGGAAAATACTTCCTGTCTGCCCACTCCCACATTCGGATTGTTACCAGGCGCCCACCGCTTGTGTTACTGGAGGTCACCTAGGTCAAAAGCTTGGGTGACAGAGGAGGAAACTGAGGCCCAGAGGAAAGTGCCTCATTGGAGGTCAGGCAGTGACTCACAGGGGTTCTGACTCCTAGTCTGGTGCTGAGATCGTGTCACATGAGTGTGCTCTCCGGACAATAATTTGGTAACAATCTGCCAAGTTAAGTGTGTAAACCCTTGGACCCAGGGGCCGTCCCGCCTCCGGGAACTTCACCGCTAGGAGTCCCTTTCTAAGAGTAACGCCATGCAAATACACTAAACGAGAAAAAGCAAAATGCTGTGTAACTGATTCCATTTGTCAAAGATTGATGCTTACATGTGCTCCTACAAGGAACTTAATAGCATTACTTTTTACAGTTGGGAAAACCTCTTAACTTGGAGATAGTACTAAACAACCCAGCCCCTATTTCCGTGTCTTGGCCTCTGGAGAGAGGCTGGTGAGGCAGCCTTGCAGTCCTGAGCCAGGAGCCGGGGCCGGGGCCGGGGCCCGCCGCGGCAGGCAGAGCCTCCTCCTTAACAGAGTGGTCCCGCTGCTTCTCCAGGTGCACCCAGACATCGGCATCTCTTCCAAGGCCATGAGCATCATGAACTCGTTTGTGAATGATGTGTTTGAACGGCTGGCTGGCGAGGCTGCCCGGCTGGCCCAGTACTCGGGCCGAACCACACTGACATCCCGGGAAGTCCAGACGGCAGTGCGTCTGCTGCTGCCTGGGGAGCTGGCCAAGCACGCCGTATCCGAGGGCACCAAGGCCGTCACCAAGTACACCAGCTCCAAGTGACCCAGGGCCAAACATTAATAAAGAGTGAACTGCTCCCGCGCACTGTGGTGATTTGGAAAGGGGAGGTGTGACGCGGGGCAAGGGTATTGTCACTCTTTATGGCTACAGGGTAGAGTAATACTTATTCATACTTTTTATTTATTTATTTATTTTTAAAGATTTTATTTATTTATTTGAGACAGAGAGAATGAGAGAGAGAGAGCACATGAGAGGGGGGAGGGTCAGAGGGAGAAGCAGGCTCCCTGCCGAGCAGGGAGCCCGATGCGGGACTCGATCCCGGGACTCCAGGATCATGACCTGAGCCGAAGGCAGTCGCTTAACCAACTGAGCCACCCAGGCGCCCTATTCATACTTTTTAAATACTGCTTTCTGAGTGTGCCCCCTGAGCATCATGTGACAGTGCTTTGTAAACCCACAAAGTTCTAACCGAGCTTTAGCAGGACTTGGGATCTGGATTAGAATCCTCGATCGGCTGTGTGTTAAGTCTTTCAGGCCATGGTTTCATGATGCCTTTTCTGGCAAACTATCATTTTTGTCCTGTGTTGGCCATGGGAGCCCCATAGATCTTATTCTTCAAGACACAAAGTGGAAGGGTTCTCAATAACCTGCTGGGATCTAGAGGATGTGCTTCCTTTCCCCTAATGTTTCCTTCCCCCTAATTTCAGAACAGATTGGTAGGAATATTTGAGACTCCTCTTTTTCTCCAAACTTTATGTTGAAAAATCTCAAATCCACAGAAAAATTGCAAGAAAGTTCAATGACCACTTGTATGTCCTTCACCTAGATTCACCACCTAACATTTGCTCACACTTGCCTTTTCTCTCTCATTCGGCCTCTGCTCTATCTTGTGGGCGTATGACCCACAAATTCTCTCCCAAGCTGTGAGGGGGTGGGGTCAAGGGGTCGCATTCAGGGAACAAGTCTAAAATCCTTTACCTTCCCTTTGCCACTGGATAGACGCAGCTTGTCCCCTTCATGTACTGAATAGGCTCACTGTAACGGGGGCTGACATCTGGATGCCATCCTACATCCTCGACATATATTTTCTTAGAGGCCAAGCCTAACCGGGAGATGCCATGAGAGGGGAACCAATCACCCACATTTTAGTCCCACAGCTGGAAAGGAGAGGGCCCAGGAGACCTGGCCCCTGAGCCCTGGCTCTTCCCCACTCCCACTGAGTCTCATACCTTGCTATGGTGTGACTCAGAGACCCAAGTCAGATCGTGGAATTAGCATCTGCGCTTTTGACAAGATCTCAGGTAATTTGCGTGCACACGAAAGCCACAGAACTCCTCATCTCTTGCTCCTCTTTGCTGCTCTCCCCTTTCTCTCCCTTTCCTTTGCTCTGTGCTTTATTTATTCATACGTTCCTGACTTAACACCGAATCAAGACGGTCACCCTCAGCTGACCAGAGTCAGGGTGCTGTTGCTATGTTTTGTATTTTTCCCAAGAATGGTCTCCTGAGCCTGTTGCCCTGATGGCTACAGCCACAGAGGGCTCAGAACGAGCCCCAAAGGCCACTGGGTCCCCTCTTCTACTCTTTCTAATGTCATTCTTTACACAGGCATCGTTCGCATGAACCATGTGAAGTGCGATCAGACCCCAGGGAAACAGGCGTGCTTGTGCTCATCTCAAGGTGGAGTCATGACTTTGCAGCCTGAACCCCAACCTTCTGACCCCAACTCCAGTGCCCCTTCCCCTTACATCACACCTGCCTCCAGGACAGTCATCAGTAAGAGCCAAGGAGGCTGGCTCTGAGTGAAGGAGTATAGGGTTCCTCCAGCTGAGAAGTGCAGTTGGAAAAACGAATGCCTTTAGGACTAACCTTCACCCAAAGCCTCACTGCTCCCAGGGTGACTTCAAATAGCGACTCCTCTTTTATTTGATTCTCACAAGAAAAGCAGCCACGGCTGACCCCACACTCTGCTCTAGCCTTCCAAGGCTTGATACGGGAACATCCTCTGAGATAGGGGTCCTCAGTCCTGTACCTACTGCCCCCTCCCCTCACAGCCTTAGAACATTGAGACAATGGGCCAGAACTCTCAAAACTGGGCTGTTCTGGCTTTGGGGGCATGGAGTCGAGGTGGAGGCACAGCTTCTGTGGACTGCATGACCAGCTCACAAAGGGAACTGTGAGAAGTGGGCACCATGTCTGAGGGGTGAGTGAGGAGCAGGAGTGGAGCCCCCAGGGCTGGGGCAGGTGGGTGAGGAGAAGAGGTGCCGGGGAGAGGGGTTTGTGTGCTGGGCCAGCCCTGGTTAGGCCCCAGACATTCACACGGCACCCCCTGGCTGTGCCGGTCTGTGGTCAGCTTTCCCTCTTCAGACTTTCCTTGAACTACTTATTCCAGAATCAGGGGAAGGGACCCTTCTCTACACTCACCCCTCACCCCCACTTCCCACTCACCCTTCTAGACGACTGCAGCATCCCTGGGCTGCACCCTCTCCCTGGAGGGACCGACTGCGGACTCCAAGAGACCTTTTCCTTACAGGGAGCCCCTGAGGGCCATGCCTATCCTTCACCTTCCTTGCTAATCCATCAGTGGCCTCCCTCCTCCCAGTGATCCCAATCTCCCACGTGCTGGAGGCCTGGACGTGTGTTCTCTTCACTACCACCTCACTCCCCCTCAGGACCCCTCCGGGCCATGAGTAACCTTAACTGCACACCTCTGGAACCCGGAGTTCACACTCCCCAAAAGGCTCAGCAGAGCCGGTCTTCCCCCACCCTCCTAACCCCCCCACTCCTCCGAGGCGCAGATCCGAGGCCTGCTGCCCCCTCTCCTCTCCAGAGCTTACCAGCGCCTCTGGGACTCCTCCCACGTGACCCTGCAAGAGCTGCTGGACCAGGAGCAGGCCCTGCTCGAACCCGTGCCCCCCAGGGAGCGGCAGTCGTTCCAATACAGGCTCTCGTCGATCTACCTGCACTACCTGGGGCTGATGCGCCGGTTCGACACCCTCTACGACCAGATGGTGCAGCCGCAGAAGCGGCGGCTGCTGCGGCGGCTGCTGGACAGCGTGGCGGGCCGCGTGCTGGAGCTCAAGGACGACCTGGTGCGCGCCGACCTGAGCGAGTACCACTGCCTGGACCGCGTGCTGCAGGACCTCAAGCTCACCCCGGTGCGCGGGCCGCGCGGCAGAGCCACGCCCACTCCAGCGGAGGGGCGGGGTGGCCGGTAGCCTTGACCTCCCGCGGACACGGAGCCACGCCTCCACCACCTGGAGCGGGAGGGGGCGCAGAGGCCTGACCTCCCAAGGACAACCCTGGTGTTGGGACCTCTGCAAGGGAAGGGGAACGGGGCAGATCAGGGGATGGGGTTTGATCGGGGGGAGAAGAGTTTCAGGAAGAGGGGGTGCATGCGAGTAGTTGGGGGATGGCAGAGAGTCAGGCTGGAGGCTTCGCGGGGCTGGGAATACCCAGCAACCGCAGGGGCTTGGTGAAGACAGTCCCCCAGAGGCCTGCTTCTCAAAGTGTGGTTCTTGGACCAAAAACATCAGCATCACCTAGGACTTTGTTAGAAACGCAGAATCTCGGACCACAGCTCAATCCCACTAACCTGCTTCTGCATTTTAACAAGCCTCTAGGGTGATGTGAATGCTCCAGTCTCCAGGCTGCCCCAAGGGCATGGGCCACTGCTCCCCATCCGAAGCAGTCTCAAAGTTCCCAGACCCGCTGCATCAAACTCAGCTGTGGATTTGAAAAAACAAACTAACAAAAACAGATTCTCCAGGCCCTGCCACTCTGATGTGGTAGTCTGGGAGGGCCTAGGAGTCTGCATTTTAAGAGCTTCCCAGTTGATTCTGATGCACAGTCAGGATTGGAACCACTGCCCATTACGTATCATGATCCTCCAGAATTCAACTCCGGTTACATGGTGGGGCAGGGAGATAGAGGGATGAGCTTAAGGGCATCTGCCCCTAACCCATAAATCTCCCACCCCAGGGCTCTAGGATGAAGGAAACCATCACCAGGATCTGTGTAAGCAGCTAAAATGGTAGTATCAGCCAGATGGCCTGGATTTTGAGTCCTGACCCTCCTTACCCCATATTGCCCCAAAGGCAGACCTGGAGGTTCCAATCCCCAAATACTTTCTGCTGGAGCAGTCCACCATTCTGAAGGAGCGAGGGCTGATGCTGGCAGAGATCCTGTCCAGAATGGAGCCAGTGACCTCTGAGGGGGTAAGTCAGGGACACACCCTCCCAGATTCCTCTCATACACCCCTCCCAGAACAGAGATGCCATCTTCCAGGACAGAGAGGATTTGCCCTGCCCTATTCCCACCTCAGAGTGCTCTTTGGGGAATCCCTGGCCTGCTTCAAGGATGCTCTTGTGCTCCTTGAAACCTTCTGACACCGAGATAGAGGACAGGACTTGGGCACTCCACTGGGAGGACCATGTCCCCAGCATGTTGTTTGGTGGATCGTCTCCCAGCTGCTAGCCTGGGTATAAGCCCTCTCTCATCTTCTCCTGCTCCTTTGCCCCTGCGGTGGCCAGGGTTTTCCAGAAATGCACCGGACCGAGGCCATAATCCTACTGCAAAGGGCTGAGCGGGCCAGGCAAGGCCGGCTCCGAGCCACCTTCATGCGAGAGATTCGGAAAGAGGAGGAGCGCGATAGGAAGATTCGAGAGGACAGTTGGCACAAGTTCAATCAGGACCAAGCAGCTATCACCATACAGAAGGTAACCCCCCAGCACCCAGGAGGAAGGTCAGGCTTGAGTCACCTCTTCCAGGAAGACTGCCTGGCTCAGCAATTGAGGACAGAGGTGCAGGTGCTTGGATTCTGTTGCCCCCATAACCAGATCCTAAACTGGGGACCTAATCAGTTAATAAGCTTGTATCTTGTGCTATATCTCATAAAAGCCCCAGAAACAGAAGGATCATTAAAATTAGAGGAGAAAGATCCATAATAAGGTAGCAGAACATAGTAGATGATCATTCCGGAAACTCATAAGACTGTTATAGATGAGTCACTAAAATGGATCCTGAGACTCCTGGCAGCTGAGGTAAAAGGAATGGTGATGAATCAAACAGAGTTTGAGA